CGCCCTTGTAAAGACAAATAATGTCAATTGGAAAAAATTTATGTTTTTCTACATGCACATTCTCTAAGCTTCATAATTGTAATCTATTGCTTACCATCAACGTACATTTTTATATGAGGTAGGTCCTAATGCCAAATCCTGAAGTGCCATTTGATGACAGACAGATTGATGTGTAAGAAAAAGAGAAGTTTTACTTTCTGATCATCTTTCCTCTGATTTGGGTTACCCACAAAAATGCAAGTTCAACACTACAATTTTCAACATAATAATAATGTCTCTGACACCACATTGCCCAAAATGATATATAATCCATTATAAATATGCCAATGTAATGAACTCAATATTGAACTCAAATCTACAAATGTTCTTGAGTCAGCATGAGAGCTTAACTGTGTCCTCTTATTATTTATTCCCGCTAATATTCCTTTACGATATGACTACTATTCTCAAAAGAGTTATGTCCCTGCAAGTTATGGTACAATGTCTGCACTTATTACATCAGTTTTAGACTTGGCCGAGTTATACAAGTTTGAGTCATGCTTTAAAGGGACCCTGGGATTCAATTTTGAACTGAGGTCTATTCAGCTCTTTGTCTAGTGTGCTGCTTTAAGAATTTTATCAGAAGAGTTCCAACTAATACTTTCAGACTCTGCACTGGTGACACTCATGCATAGTTGCTCTGCAAATATCATCGGTTTGTAATTATTATTTGATGTAAAAATCTTGGTACCTTTGCCTGTGGTACAGAGCCAGTTAGAATGCTCTCTATACTGTTTCTATCATAGACCAGTTCAGCATGTTGCAGAGCTGGTCCAGCTGGTTTCTCGTGCAGGAGGTGCTGAGTCCTGATGCATCCTTAGTCAGCAGTTACTCAACATACTGCAGGCAAATGCATCATACCTTGATCATAACTGCAAATGTCAGAGGAAGTTTGGCTGAAGGCAGGCATGGCCTTTCAAGGCACATACATACACACACAACACGTGCACGCAGAAACATGCAGACCCTGCTGCCTCAAGGTTATCTTGTAGTGCCTATATATGCACATTTGTGAATGTGTGTGTTAAAAGGTTATGTGTGGATGTGTGTTTGCACATTACTCAGCATTTTTTTTAATTAGTCAAATTGGGCCAGGGTTTTGCCTACGGCAAAGAAAGAAGAGGGAGGGGTTATTTTGTGCTGTGCTGTATTGTTCTTGTCCGTCACACATAAGTACACACACACGCAGACACACACACGCAGACTCACCCTTTCTCAAAGGTGACTGTAGTCTTTAATGTGGCCATTTAAGAGGTTGAAATCAATTTGCCCTCTAACCTGATGTCTCACACACACACACACACACACACACACACACACACACACACACACACACCAGGTACACAGTGTGGTTAAATAATCTTTTATCTGCTTGGTAATAAATTGTGACAAAATAGTTACATGACAGAAATAACTTTCAGCACATGGTGTTTGTTTTTTTGCCTCTCTGATACACACATTTGGGAATGAGCACATTCAGCCATGGATATGTGCAGAGACACACGCAGGCTTGCACACAAACACACTCACTGAACGCTTAACACAATGACCTCCCTACCTGCTGCTGATCCAACTGAGAAATAACACCCCAGTCTGCAGCTCTGTGCAGCAGTCATCCCCTTTCAGCATATTGTTTTGGTTTCTATATTCAGTTTACCTCCCAGGGGAAGTATTCTGGCTGCATCCACTGGGATGGAAACCAGAGTCAGAGCCAGATGCATCTGTGGAGAAGGGGGTCTTGGCTACCTTGCTTTGCCTGTTGCCACCATGACCTGGATAAAGAAAATCGATACATGAAGGGATGTTTTGGATTGCTACTTCATGTTTTTCAATTTGCTGTTGTCTTTTCTTCTGTCTTCTTCTCAATTATATCTTTAGAAGTTTAATTAGCAATGTTCACTTGCAGATCGCTGCCAGTTAATGTCTTCGCTTTGCTGCTAAATTGGCGTTTAACTGAGCTGCAGGTAGCAGTGAAAGGGTCTTGTAATGTCTTACATTAGACTGTCTGAAACCAGCAGATATGGTTGATAATAACAAAGCATCAGAATCATGATCCATTAGTCCTGACAGCTTTTAGTTCTTGTTCTATCTCACAAAATCTGTTTGTTGTCACTTGAGCTCTCTTTCCTATTCTCTGTGTCATATCAGATCTGTTGTAGGAAGTCTTTTGTTTACTCTTATCTTTTTGTCTTTCTAAATGCATTAACATCTGTTCCTGGGACTCTTGATCTCCCCCTTTCCCCGGATTGCTTTTTTTATGGTTTTTCTCATTCCATCTTTCCTGTCATATGCTGTTCTTAATTATCTCAAGTAGAGTTACTTACCATCTAATCAACTCCACTGACTGACAAGTAAACAACTTCATTTTTGCCATGCATGCATGCATGCACTAAAGCATCTTGCACAAGTTTGCCTTTAGCTCAAAACTTTTCCAACAAGACTGAATCATCCTCACGTTTCTGCAAATTCAAACTAAACCAAAGCATTATAAATGTTTTATTCAAGTATGTCTACCTTATAACTGATTAATTAAATAGTTGATTAAATAGCACTTAATTCTCTTAAAATCTGATTTGGCACTTGGCAACGTACTAAACTACACTGACACTATCCAATAATGTCATACTGTAAATTCTTTTCATACATACACCTTTAAAGTACATATGTAAACACACATGCACACAAACACAACACATGATTTACTCCCTCACGTTAATGAGTCCGTCTCTGTTTCATACGTGTAATTTTTATTATTTATATCAAGTCCAGAGAACAATATTGACTTTGGCAAAATGAAATAAAAACAGAAAGGAAACAACAGTAATGGTTAAAAGTCATTATTATTAATGTAATTGGCTCTGTTTTATAGGCATCTGTTTGTGTGTGTCTGTTTTGGGGTGTGTGTGCTTGCCAGTTTGTGTGTTTGTGCTGTGTGTGCTTCAACAGTGTCTGTTTTGATCTTTATTTTTCTGCCTAGTCATAATCAACATTTTCTGTTCTAATCATGACGATTTTTTGTTTAAAACAAAAAATCACACATTTTATATTTTGTATTGGATCCTAACATCATTCCCCAGAAAACAGAAACACATGGTGCGACAAGTAACATCATTTTTTATATATATATATATATATATATACTATATATATGTACTTTCAAGTTTTCTCTTTTCATTTTTTTTCTCATTGATAGATTTTTTTTTAAGAGTCTCTGTGGTATGTGCCAATGGATCAGTCGTCCCATTAGTTGAGTTTTACAAAGTCTTCCAATGAAGAGAGTTATATCGTGAGCGGCTTCATGTTTTTTAAACTGGTTCCTCTCTGAGAACATTCACTGCTTGGATTGAAAGTGAATCCATGTGGCACAAAGGAACCTGAAGTCACAAAAAAATGAATTTGAAATTTTGATTCCCGCTTAATGGTTGCTGCTTTCTGACCATGCTACTTTGCTGGAAATAGTGATTTATTCTGATTTTGGTGAAAATGTCTTTAAACGTTTCACTTTGACTTCACTGTGGGCGTTCTGATCACCTCGAGTCTTAAAATTCTGGATTAATTCCTTTTACAGCATGTCCAGAAAGCGCCATACCGTCTGGTTGAGTGGATTGCCCCTCACAAACATTCATATACATGTGCGCACACAAATACACACACAGGCACACATACACACATCCTGTCCCTGATCCACCAGTGCATGCACACTTATGCAGCCATTTGTATTATTCATTTGTTTGGTCCATTATTATCTGACATCCAGTATGATCTTGTCTTTCAGAAATGCACACGCACACACGTTTCATCATACACCCCTGTCTCCTCCGTTTTGTAATCCATATCGACTCCATTGTAATCCCAATGTCTTTCTTTTAATAATGTCTGTGCTCCACTCGCTCTTTCCAGCCCATATCGATTGATCATGTCCAATGCACCCGGCTCTGTATTTATGCTCCCATAATCCGCAGGCATGGCAAGCCAAAATCATTGTCCAGCCACAGAGGACACATAAAAGTCACATTCATCGTGTTTTGGAAAAGAGTTTCAAAATGGCCGTCAGTGTTGGAGTCAAAAAAAAAAAAACAAGATAACAAAGCAGAGCTATGTCATCAAAATGTCTTTTTTTTTTTTTTCCTTTTTTTTTTTCTTTTTTCTTTTTTTGAACTGTTGTATTTTTGTCAGAGAGAAAAGCATTTCTCCAGTATTACCGGTTGTGTTGATGTTTTTGATCCAGTGTAAACCCTGGTGGTGTTGTGGGGGCTGGGACCCTGGAGAGTTGAAGTGTTAGCAAGAGTCTGGCTCTATTAGTGTATAGGCTTTACTGAGAATCCACGCTGAGCTCACGCCATCTCCGTCTCTGCTATATATCCTTTGTTCTGTTGATGTTTTCCCCTCTTTGATTACGTCTTTCCCTCTCTTAGCGACTATATATACCACTCACATTGTCTCGTCTCAGAATTGTCACTCCCTTTGCCTAGGTTTTTGTTTTTTTGTTACTACTTTATTGTTCTGTCTTGTATCAGCCATGTTTTACTGATACAGCTTGAACTCAGCCTTGAGTATTTAAAGACCACTTTAAAACTGCCATGTGTTATGTTTCTCCCACTCACCCCGCTTTTCCTGTCACATCTCTCTTCCCACTTATTTTTCCACCCATCACTCCTCAGGTCAAGCTATAAAGAGCCTCTTAAAAATCTCCAGCTCACTTCCAGGTACACTTTCGCCTCTCCTCTTCACTTTTCTTGACTTCTCCCCAGGCAAATCAAGGACTGCACAAGTGAGAATTAAGTCAATTTTACTTGTCTTTCTCCCTCTGAACTTGCAACCTTCCCTTCCTCATCTGCAATCACTTCATCTTCCCTATCCTACCGCTTCACCCTCGTCAAATCAAGATCCCATTCAAACTGTCCTCTCACAGAACCCTTTGTCCCTCTTGACTTTTTTTTTTTATTCTGTTCAACTGGCCGCTACACAACACTTTCCTCCAGTTCTTCAGCATTTCTTCCGTCGTTCCCTTTCTCTCTCCCCCTGTCTTTTACGCTGCCTGCTTTCCCACTAGTGATCCCAGCATTAGAGTTGGAGTTGGTGGTGTTGTAAGCGTGGATGTATCCCCGCTGAAACTCACAGCGTGGTCCAAAGCCACCGCCGCCTTCGCCCTCGTCGCTGGTTGTTGAAGATGTTGTGCTTGTCGTCGAGGCACACTGCACCAGCATACCATGAAGCGACTGGCTCCTCCTCGTCCAGATCACACTCAGACGCTTGGCGTAGCTGACAGCACCGTAGCGCTTGGCAACAGTGGCCGCAGCATCAGTTGCTAGGGCAACAGAGGAGCCCATATCCAACGAGTGCCGCCGTTTGCTAACGGTCCCGCAGGCAGGACTTAAAGGGGATACTGGACTCTGATAGGCCTGTGAGGAGTTCCATTTGTCCCTGCCTCGGGGAGTGATTCTCCAGTCCAACAGCTCTGAGTCTCTCAGGGGTGCAGCCAGAGAGAAACTGGCACGATTGGTCAATTCTCTCTCCAGGCGGGGTTTAGGGCGGTCCCTGGAGCGTGACTGACGGGGCAGGGTGGATGGAGGGGAAGGGGAGTAGTAGAGGGGAGTTCTGTCACTTTCAGGGGTGTACGGTGGCGCCTTCTCCAGCTTCCTCTGCCTCACCACCAGTGCCATCTCACGTCCTGCCCCTGTTGTCGTTGAAACTACCCCTCCAGCTGAAAGAAACTGCTCCAGGTTGACTTTAGGCTTGGGCCTGGGCTTTGGAGGGAGTTTTGGAGGCAGAGAGGATGCAGAATCAGCTGCTTCCTTCTCCTTCTCCTTTTCCTTTTCCTTCTCGCCTCCTCTTTTGGAAGGCAGACCATTGGGCAGGACCACCATCATCATGTCCCCGGACCCATTTGATTGGTAGCACCCGCCACCGTTTCCCCCTTTGTCCCTACCCCCTACACCTCCACTTTGACAGCAGGCCCCACCTCCTGCCTCAGTGTTGCTGTTGTGACATATCATGTGGTCACCATGATTGCAAACCCGGTGACGAACCATGAGCGCCACTGTGAACACGAGTAGGGTGACCACAACAACACCACCAACCAAGATGGTCAGTGTCCCGCCCAGAAAGTGGGCTTGGAGAGAGCGGCATGCTGGGTAAACATCCTTGGTGGAAAATGTGGTACAGCCCAGAACTTTTGTTGCTGCCAATGATGTAATGGTGTCATCAAAAATGGCGAGGACACACAGGTTATAGTCCACACCGGAAACCAAGTTCTTCAACAGGAAACGGTCACTGGTCGATGGTAGAATCCTAGAAACAAAGAAAAGTAAGAAAAGAGGAGGTCAGTTAAATAAACAGGCATGCTGTGCACAGGATGTGTAGTTAAATATAAAATATCTGCTGTAACTTGAATACTAGCCTGAATATTTTGACTATTGTGGAACTAAGGAGAAAGGCTTGAATACTGGACCGAAGCAGAGGAGAGGGGGGGGGTGAAAGGATGGCTAGAAACTGCGCAAGAGTGGATACTGCAGTAGGGGGAGAGAGGGAAAATGAGGCTATTGATGGAGAGTGCGCCCAGGGAACATGAAAAGAGAACTCTGTCTGCTCATTTGGAGTGCAGGGGTGTGTGTGTGTGTATGTGTGCGTGCTCGTACTTGAATCCCTGCGTGAAGAAAAAGTTGAGCCATTTTGTGGGACCTCGCATTGGAAAAAAGAGGCCATTTTAGTTTTAATTGTTGGGGCTAGGATTACAGTAAAGCTGAGACATTTTATGGTTTTGATTAGTGGAATATAGGAAATGAATGTGTATTGTCATGCTTTGTGCTTTGTTGTCTTTTGACTGCAAATGTGTTCCTGCGTGTATCTAATGAGTGAGTGCTTGCGTGGGATAATAATGAAAAAAGTGCTTTGAATGTGTCCTCATTTTAAGTGTTTGAGCAGCCGTTAGAACTAAAGCAGAGAATAGGTGAACAATAGAGAGACAGCGAGAGGGAAAAACAATGAGGAGAGGTGGTGATAAGAATGGAGGGGCACAGGCTTTACGTAAGTTGTATGTGCTTGTCTCAGTGTGTGTGCGCGTGTTCATGGTTGTATATGTTTGTATTTAGGACATACTTGAATGACAATCTGTGTATTTTCATGTTAGTGGGTTTGTGTATGTGACCTGTTAGGGTAAAAGTGTGTGTGTGTGGGAGACTGCAGCACAGCTCAAGTGTCTGTCGCTGATGGGTATGACTTTGCCCTCTGCTGTCCACTCCTCTTGTGTGGGCAAGTGTGTGTGTGTGTTTGTGTGTTTCTGTGTTGCTGCTCTGAATATTTTGTCAGTGACTTCTTTTTTCTTTCCTCTCCTGTAGTTTCTCTCCGAATCCCTCTCTATCTGTCCTTTTTCACGCTACATCAAAGAGCTTATTTGTATTGTCTATTGCTAACATTCAAGCTCCCCTCAGACTTGAGCTACATCCTATAAATGCCATCTAGTGTGACTCAGACACCGGGGGACCCACTGCAGAAGGCCCCTAACCTTACTCTGCCTACAATGCATTCAAAATAAAGAGACCAAGGACAGCAGCTATTTAGCCTACTTGTCTTTATCTTGAATTTTGAATTCTCACAAATATATTTATATTTGTGTTACATAAATAAGGGGATTAGCTGTCTTGAATAATGCTAAGTTATCTGGGAAACAAAAGAGGGGTCTACTCAAAGGCAGAACCATAAACTTGGGTTACAGTGCTGTGAAGAAGGGATATTGATCACTGATTTTCACTGCCTTCTTGAGGCTTAAAAGTGAACAAAATTGTAATTTTCTGAACTAATGCCCAGAATATCAACCATTGCACTGCTATAATTTAGGATTAAAAGTGCTTTTTGCAAAGAACAGCGTGTGGCAAACTCAGTTACACTGCCTTAGCGAATCTCCTGGAGTGATTTGAATAGCAAGGACTGGCACAGAAATGCCTCCAAACTAATTTCCTGCAGAAGCTCAGTATGATTTGATAAGGAATTACAATGTACTGTCTGACACTCCCAGTCCCAATATAATCTCAACGGACACATGGGGCAGTCTCATTAAAATCTGCCTCATCCTGTGGTCATAAGGTCACTATAGATTGCTCTCTAACACTGTCACAAATTCGCCAATTAACTCATTCTCTGTGCTTGAGCAACTTTGGGACCAGGTGTGTGTTACCATGGTAAAGGCACATTATTCTAGAGAAAGCAGCTCTTTATATAATATCCACACATTACATTTTCATGACCAGTCAACTTCCATGCCTTCATGTCCTAGAATATCAGTAATCTCCTTCTTTCATGCAAATTCATTGCAAATTCCAAACAAGCATAAAAATTAATAAATAAACTGCAGACACTTGAACAATTGCATAGTCTAAGAAGAGGGCATACTAAAGCCAATTTGCTATAATGTCCCAGGAAATGCTGGTATCCAACTCTTTAAACAAGTGAATTAGCTTGAATGTCTGCTCCAACTGTTGCCTTCACTTAAATAAACTCTTGATTGTTCAAAGTGTCGGGTAGCTCTGTGAAATGATGGACACTGACTACATTGCAAGGCCCAAAACTTCAGAGCGATAACTAGAATTGGGAATGAAAGTAGCAAAATGAAGGTTTTGAGTACATACTTTTTATATTTCTACAGAAAAGAGCGAGGCACCTCAAGAAGTGAAATCAAACCAAGGCATTATATCCAAATATATCAGGAATGAAAACCTAAAATGAAAGCCCGTCTTGGGCAATCAGTCACAGCGGAGGATTGCGAATTACCCTTGTAAAAGTCCAGTAGTAAAGGCAGTGGGATACTTAATCAGATTTCCCACATGAAATATGCAAGAAGCGGCACTCATAACGCTCCTGCTGCCTCTCTGTCTGAATAAAAAGCCCCGGTCATGTTATAGGCTTATAAAAGGCCCTGAGAAATATTACAGTGGTGTCAGTTCATCCAGAGCCTTTATGTGTCTCCGTATAATTGATAGATCCCGCGAGGCACAGACTTGACCATCAGTGTGGGGAGTCATGTTCGGCTGAGGGGCTGCCTCTCTTTAACAAAGGTTATATTTAAATGGCTTTTCTCTTACTTTGATTCACTGTCATGTTAATGCATGCTGGTTTCCTTACTTTTCCCATGTCGCTCAGTGTCTCAGTTTGATTAATCTAGCCGATAGACAGTTACAAGCTTTATTGGATCCAGTGCTGGAAAAGAAGACTGTATTGTTATACAAGCAGTATTTATGCTGAATCCCTCTCGACTATCTGATATATACTTGCATTATGAATTATCCTGCACCAAATGTGTTTGTGTATACACATATATATATATATATATATATATATATATATGTGTGTGTGGATTACCAAAACAACCGAATTCCTCTTGCAGTCTGCACTACATATGATACATTGGGACACAGCATCAAGCTGTTCAATTGGTCCTCCATTGTGTGACCATGACTCACACACATGCACACACCTTGAATGAATCCTTTAGTCATTTTTCTAATCTTGCTATTCATTATCTGTACCTTTATTCACTCTATCCTCCATTCTTCCCTGTATCTTTCTTTTTAGCTCTTTTTCGATCCTCCCTCCCTCAGTCTCTCCTCCTCATTCTTTTTCCATCCATCTTTTATGAACAGATTTCCATCTTTTCACTGTTTGGACACTCCCTCTTATTTGTCAGTGTCATTTGCTTTTTTCACCACTTTGTAATCACCCATCCTCTCTTTCCCTTTACCTAAATCTGCAGTAATACACCTTCTTTCTTGGCACCTTTTACTTTGAATTAAAGTTTTTGTTATGTTCATTGGCTCTGCTCATCTCTTCTCCTCTTTTGTCTCTCTCCGTCTCTTTTACCTCCTCTGTGTTTCTGCAGCCAATCAGCTCAGCTCACTGCAAATCCTCAGCCGATTCTCACCGGGCGCCACCTGACCTCCCAGCCTTTCTCCATTTTGCAGTCACTGTACTATGTCTCTATTAGCCACAGCTATAACCGTGTACCATTATTCAGCATCCAAGGTCACTCCAGCTCCCCTCTTCCTTCTCCTCTCCTCTCCTCTCCTCATCATTTCCTCTTTATCTCCCTCTGCTCTTCCCTCCTCCTAATCCTCCCCTCTCCTCTCCTCTTATTTTTCCCTGCCACCTCTCCATTTGCCCTCATCTTATATTTCTCATCACCACTCTTCTCCTCTGCCCCACCACTGCTCCCTCCCTTATGAGATCGTGAATCACCTCTCTGGTTGTTTTTGCCACTCTGACTGCGACAGAAATAGGCAAGCAAATTCACTGAAATATACATGGAAGACCCGGACACATGCATCTTTGATCTGCTGATTCGTTACTACTCACTGCATTATGCATTTTTAACCATATTTACATGCCTATTGTCACATGTATATGTAAATATGCAGCTCTGTGGTATGCATACGCATACTGGACAGATGAAATGATTTTCACCTTAATCCTTAGTGTTCTTCAGACAATATATGTTCATGAATATAAAGTGGTCCCCATATGAGTTAGGCTACTGTTCTGAAATGAAATGAATTGATTTATTGAGTAGGTTTTGTCAGGGAGGCAGGGGTTATTGTTCTCATTGCATCCCTGTATTTGCAGATGCTGGCATTGTGCTCTGTCACCTAACATACCAAGAGCGTGTGTGTCTGTTTCTGTGCTTCTAATTATGGTTAAACCCTGCAAAGGCGCGCGCACACACAGATGCAGAGGGAAAGTGAAAGAGACAAGGGAGTGCTTTGTTCAAGCTGGTGACACAGAAACGAGTAATTATTAGTACCCAGGAGAGAGAGGGGGAGAGAGGAAAAGAAAAGACTGATAGAAGACGGGATAAAGGAGCGGTAGAATCCTGTCCCCCTTTCCACATCTTTCTTTCCCTCTCTTTTCCTCTTCTTCTCGTGCTCTCTTGCGGCCTCATTCCTTCCTCTTTTTTTTTCTCTCTATCTGCGTTACCGAGTCTGGTGGTCTGACACCAGACAAGATTGGGCACAGAGAGCAAGAGACAGAGGAGGGAGAGAGAAGGAGAGAGAGAGAAGAGGAGGAACAACAAAGCAATTATCTCCTCTTCTGGCTGACATCTATACTGCCCTCGTTTCCTTTTTCCCATGTCATGTCTTTTGTTCGTTTACCCTTTCCTCCATTTTTGGTCTTGATTTGTCGGACTGTTTACTATCTCGTTGGCTGCCTCCCTCAATTTAGTCTGATCTCTTCTTCTGTTTTCCTTGATCTGTCTTTCTGCCTGTCTCTCCCCCAACCCCTCCCTTCTGGATTTTGTTTCATCC